ACAATTGCAAACAGTAATTAATTCTGGAGCAATTTCATCTATAAATATTAAGTATTTGTAACAAAACTGATTTAGTAATTCAATGGTTCGCCGGTAAAATGTAGTTTAAAGATTTTTTTTTAAAAAATGTGAGTTAATGCAATATTGGTGCGAAACGTTGGCTGTTTTAAAAACAACTGGCCGGCGAAATTAATTTAAACAATCTGTTATTAACTCAATGGGTGTCTTGTGCAAGTACTTGTGCAGTATTTATGGATTCTGCCAGTTAGTTTATTTACTGTGATTTTTTTAGTTTTTATTGATGACACTTCATTTAGCCTGTGTAAAGTTTTGCGTTTCTTTTTAAACAATTGCCTACAGTTATTAATTCTGAAGCTAATTAATCAATAAATGTAAAGAGATAGGAACAATGTGGTGGTAGAAATTTTGGGGGTTGCCGGTAAAATGTAGTTTTAAGAATTTTTCCATCAAATTCTTACATAAATTTTCTTTTTGTAGATATTTAAATTTTTTTAAACAATTACGTTTGATAATAACGGCAAAATGGAGTAATTAAATAGTAGTTAATTTATTTATTGTTGTTAAATTTTTCTGACATTTTCTGTGTTATTTGGTTTTGTGGCTAGCTAGCTTCACGTTGAAGCTAGCTGACCCTTGATTTTTTTTTAAAATGGCTGGCGTAATTAATTGAAAATTATGATAATTAACGAATAATTAATTAGTATTAAACGATGGCACGTAGTTTCTTGTGGTCCACTATAGGTGGCTAGCCAGCTTCAGAGAGGTGATTTTCTTGCTGGCTTCCACCTATCGGCTCCATGGCCTGTTGAGGTGCCCCCCTCCCTCCGCTCATGAGCCGTGACCCGCGAGGCTATCGCCCGGCGTATGGCGGGAGCGGCTCGGGTGGCGGCGGCGGCGGCGACCCGCTTTCGGTGGGGCCCCCTTCCCCGCCACCGCCGCCGTTGATGTTTAGTCGCACGGCGGCCTCCGAGCGGCGGCCCGCCCACTTCGCCAGCGCGCTCCGCCTCTGACTACTGCTCGTCACCGTACGTACACATCGATTCCATTTTGCGGACTCCCGGGGTAGTGCATGTTTATCCCGAGAGGTGGCGGTGTTCCTCCCCGCCGGTGCCGGTCTACTCGTCGGTGTGTGAAAGGTTTCACTCTCCCGGAAGCTCTGGCAGCGCGCGGAGCTCTAAGCTTCTGACACGTGTGGTAGTGTAGCCAACGTAAGTGGAAATGTGTGCGTGTGTGTAGAAGGGGGAAGGATATGAGTAGGAAACCGCGTGCTGTCCGTGGTCTGTTTGTTAGGGTACTGCGCAGCTATTCGCCAGGTAACGATAACGAAAACCAAGGAAAACTACTGATCAGAGCGGCCGGTCGCTAGAATTATCCTTCAAACGTGACTGGGTTCAACCTAGCAATCTTATTAGTGTTGAAAATCAGTCATAATCGGGATTCGAACTCTAGATCCTCCGGATCAAAATCCTTGCAGAAACAGTCCTGAATTTACTCAGCCGGTCTGTATGAACTACGGTGGTGGGTCACGAAACGTAGTCTGATCCCACCGGGAACAGACCCCAATCCAGGCTCGTGCTCTAACCGACTGAGCGATGGAGACACTAGAATTGAGACTGTTTAAACGCCTTGTATGCAGTTCGCAGAATGCTACTCAAAAAGAGTGATGATGAATGAAATGGAGTGTACCGCTCCCATTATTGACAAGGCAAGGCGGGATTTGTGTTAAGATGGTGTAAGTTTATCCATGCTCTAAAGTAAATGTGCAATTTCGAATCTCATCGAGAACCGTCCCGCATCCTTCCGTTATCCACACAGATGCTCCAACCAACTGAGGTTTGTCCTTCTTTTCCTACTTTGTCCCCTGCCTTGCGTCCTCCGTGGGCAACTGTACGTGCACTTTCCCCGGGGCGCCGTAGCGGGATCTCCTGAAGGAAGGGCGTCGCGCGGTTGCCGATGGGAAAAGACGAAAGTGCTTCGGCTCCCGCTGCTGCCTGCGCCTTCTCACTCTGAGCGAAGGCTTTCGTTTGCAATGTTGACGAACATTGCTCCTGATGGGTTTTAGAGGCGAAGGTGCGGTTGTGAGAGCATTGTAAATGCCCACTAACAGCAACATTTCCCATTCCCAACAAATGCCCATTTCCTGCCACGATCCGCATTTGGGGATCTAACAATTTCATATTCTGTACTTGCTAGAAGAACGTTATTTATAGCGATTGTTGCTTGTATTCCATTGTCAGATGAGCGGTTGAGATAAGCAGAAACATAACTCAGATTACGTTTGTGTTCTCGAAGGAGTTGAAAGCAGTGTTCACGAGAGCAGCGAGAGTGTGTGACGAAATATTTAATGAAAATCAGATCTTTATTTCCAAAAAGTCCTTCGTTTGATGCACTTGTAAGTAATAGTGCATTGATATATTTCTGATTATTACTGAATTATAAGCAAGCAATTTTGTCAGTTGCGAACGAAAAACAATATTGTTTGTTATTGATACCCATTGGGATCGTGACAGATGCAATGTACATATTTCATTAGGCTTTCTGACATCTTGTGGGTTTTTTTGCTTTCTCTCACTCGGTTATTCTTTCTCAGCGCTGGGCAGCAGGTGATGTTATTCGCTTTCTCAGTTGGAGGAGGTTGTTAACGGTCTTCATTTCTCCGGACGCAGTGACAGTGATGATGATATTCATTTCGTAGAACTTCCAGCTGACAACATTGTTACTGAAAAGAAAGACGTGAGTGAAGATATTTTACACCGTTGGATATGCCTGGTTATGTGGAAATTCGTTCATGCACTATAGCTGCGAATAATTCAGACGCTCAAGGGGTAACAATGGCAATGAGGAAAACCTCTGAAGGTGCCTGCAAAAGTCCATAACTGTCGCAGATTGGCAGAAAGTGTGACCAGATGTTTTCAAAAAAATTGGATCACATGAAGACGTTCTGTCAATAAAAGAAAAAAATGGTTGCAAGTCTCAGAGAAAATCTCTTAAAGTAATTTTCGAGAATATTTTCAATTATATAATAGAATATATCGAGAAACAAAGTAAAACAAAAATAACAGGCATAATTTCACATTTGCTCCTTATTGTCTCCGAATTTTTTTGTTTCCTGATGTTGACTGCTTCAGGGACATGTATTAATGTGAGGATGATAATATTTGTGTTCAAAGGGTCAGAAAATGCTTCACAAGAAACAAATACAATGAAATAAAAATAAATAATAATTTTAATGACAATAGTGAAACAAATTCTTTGAAATTAAATGCTCGAGTTTTTTAAGCTAATGATGTGTGAATTTAATTATAATAGCATATTTTTAGTTGCTTTAAATACGTTTTTTTTGAAAGATATTTACATTATAGTGACCTTCTTATGAAGACCTATGATTCAGTTAGCACGAATTCAGAAGGTAGTCGTTGCCACTCGACTGTTCATTGAATGTATATAGTATTAAAATCAGTTTCCTTTTATTTTTAGAATCTTGGGAAGCATTTCTTACAATTGGTTAATTGTTTTGTTACAAAGTATTTTATCACAAATATCTTATTCGAGACTATTACGTAAAAAATTATAGTAGTTAAAATATTGTCGTCCGAGATTTTGTGGCTTTATTTTAATTTGTAATATTTTTAGTAGTAAGGTTCGTTTAAGTTGTTTGCAATTGTGTATTATTAAGCTTTAAATCTTTAACTTTACGGCTTCACGTTACTTAATTATTAGTTATGTTTAATTTTTATATTATTTGATAATAGTTATTTATAAGTATCGTAATACATTGATGAACTTGCCCTAACGACCTCATTTGACAAATCACCATTTTTCTATTGTAATAACATATTGCATTGGGAGGATCGTACAGTTTATCCAATGTACTGACATTGGAAGTTTTACATAGTGGATAAAAATCGGTAAGTTTTACATAGTGGAACTGTACTAAAAATCGGTGAATTGGACTATTCATCCTGCAGCTTGGATTATGATCTCTTTTTGTTTGAGTTAATAGTGGATAATGCATTGTTGTAACTCGGAAGAGGACTTCTATGGCCAAAATATCTGGAAATATCCTTTTTGATATATGCCTGCCCTGAAAATTCTGAAATAAGCACTTTAATATTCAATTAAAGTTAACAATATTGCATTTCCTGTATAAACCTTTCTTGGTAAAATCCAGGGGAAGCATGCTTGGAATGAAAAGATATATTTTGTGCAAACGTAATATAACCTACCTTACTTCTCGAGAGAATAATATGCTTAGTGAAGTACATTGTATGCCTTCTTTCATTTTTTCTGCCTGGTTTAAAACATATATCATGAAATAACCTACATTTGCACAAGTATTTGATCTATAGAAAAGAAGAAAAAAGGCAAATTGTAAAAATTCTTTCTAATCAATAAATGCTCACAAATAAATAGATTCTATGAAAACATGAAACGTTTTAGAGAAGTGTATATTATAACGTGATATGTAAAATATGCTCCTACAATTACACGAATGTGCAGCATCAGGAAAAATCGGCCAAATCTACATTAATATGAACTAACGTATTAATCTACAAACCATTCAATTCTCACAAATGTCAAGAAATTGCACTTAGGTATGACCTGTAGCAACAGAGAAAATATGCACTATCATATAAATCCGCACCCTAGTTATAACACTTATTTGCTAACATCTTCCTAAGAAACTGACCTCAAATTTGAAGAACTCACGCTAGCTAGCCACGAAACCAAATGCAGCTGAAATTATCAGAAAAAATAAACTAGAAAGTATTAATTATTATTTAGTTACTCCATTTTACTATCATTATAAAACGTAATTGTGTAGCAAATTCAAAAATATCTACAAAAACACAATTTATGGAAGAAATCAAATGCATCCTTACCGGCAAACAAAGAATTCCGTCAGCTAATTATATGTAAATGAATATATTTTTACCATACGACACCAGAATTAAGTCCGACAAGCAATTCTTTAAAGAAAGGTGCAAACGCATATTTCTACGACGAAATTTAAAAAAATTCTTAAAATAAATATAACCGTCCGACAACAGAATTATCAATACTCTTTGTAACAAATACCTCATATTTATTGACTAAAAGTCTCAGAATTAATTACTGCTTGCAATTGTTTATAAAGAAGTCTTAATCTTTACAGAGGCTATGAACGTACCATGAATAAAACAAAAAAGTAACAGAAAAAGAATTAACCGGCGAGTTAAACTCAGAAATAACTTCACAAGTTTCTTTACAAGATAACTATTGATTTAATAATAATTTGTTGAAATTAATTACTCTTACCAGTTCTTTTTTGAACAACATCGCATTTCAGCCAAAAATTAAAAAAATCTTAAAATTAAATTTTTCGGCGAACCACAGAATTACTAATATTTTGTTACTCATTCTTTATATTTAGTGATTAAATGGCTCCATAGTTTATTACTGTTTGCAGTTGTTTATAAAGAAGCCTAAATCTTTACAGACGCTATCTAAGAACAATGTACAAAACAAAACAAAAAATCATAGAAAACCAACTCATCGGCGAAATTCAGATTTATTGATTAAATGGCTCCAGAATCAATTACTGTTTGCAATTGATTATAAAGAAGCTGAAATCAAGAAATTCATATTCCATTTCTTGCCTTTCTTCCTTTCAATTAGTTAAGTTTTTAAGTACCGATCTCTCAGATCTACCCCTTCCATGTATTTATTGTCATCAAGAACGTGCGCGGATTTTTTCATTTCTTCTTTTCTCTTTGTAATGACTCTTTTAAATTCATCCTCATGTCAGGTGCTTATCCTAGAAATAGCATTTTTACCCATCCATTGCAACACTGAAACGTGGCCCGAGTGTTGGGCGATATACTCACCTAGCTTCAATTTATTTTCCAGAGATATTTTAGGAACATTTTTTCTGTTCAAACGTAATGTTTTTCGTCGCGCTAATAATCGCAGCTAATGATGGGGAATTGTAGTAATTGCCTATCCATGAAGTATGGCCTTATTTAGCATTGGCTCGATTAAATTTAAGGCAATTTCTGTCGTTTTATTAATAGTATGTCTGACAGTCGCAATAATTTAATATTATAGTAGTACATAGAAGACGATGTATTGTAAATTAATTATTTTTATAAAAAATCCACGAAGAAAAATAACACTTTGATATGAAAATACTTGTATGAAAAACACCACGAAGTGAAGCTGCAACCTC